TTGGTTATTGTTTCCACGTTTACCTACTTTTGACGAAAGTCACTACAATAGGCCAAAACCAAATTAACTTTTTCCGGTAGGTGGACAAGGACCGATCTATTCGAAAAAATCTTAGTTATGGTCCGATTTGCTTAAAATTTGGTATGTAGTTGGCTTTTTGCCTAGATTAGTATATATCGTCGTTTAAAGTACAAAACCGCGTAACTGACATTGGCTGCCGAAAATTGGATTTGCTCTCACAAGCTCTTGGCTCAATCCTTATCCATTCGTCCTGAAATATACTGGGTGGCGCCGAATGAGCTACATGGTTTGAATTCTTTTTAACAGTTTTCTTTGGGGATATTTGAAAGAAAGAGTGTACGTTAACAAACCAAGAACCATTCTCCAACTCCAAACCAACATTCGAAATGAAATCATGGCCCGAAATTCTGCGAAAAGTTATGGAAAATATGCTAAAAAGACTTACAATACTTACAATAATATACTGTATTTAAAAAAAAAAAAATTATAATATTCGCATAAATAAAAAAGTTATAAACCATTTAAACCATATAGCTCATTCGGCGCCACACAGTGGTTCGGATAGCAGATCTAGCTGGACGAAAGCCAAAATTTTTTTTGTTTTTAAAATACTTAATGGTACTTGGAATACATTCCTGACAATACATTCAAATAGAAATTGCATTTATTAAAGCATTAACATATGAAAACAAACAAAAAAAGGTAAGTCAACGCCGCCTATTTGAGAACTCTATTTTAAAATGTGTGTTAAGACAGAAAAATACTTGGAGTTATAAACAATTTGGTTATGTAAGAGTTAAAAAAAATAGTAACTCGCTAATAAATTAAAAAATTATACAATAGGCACGCACATCTTTAAGCGCTGTTATAAATTTTTTTCTGAAATTTATTTGTGTTTCTTGCTGTGATCTTAAATTTTAGTCATTTTAAAGAAAATCTTAAGAAGTGAGTTGTTTGACATTTGGAGAAGTGTTGCTGAAACTTCTAAAAGACAACAAGGTGTCCGTGATTATGTGATTAGTAAATTGAAAGAAATATCTGATGAAAATGCTCGTTCCGAAGTAAATAAAGTAAATTAAGTAAATGACTTTAGATTCGTAATCAGCAACCCAGAAAACCCCCAGATACCCAGTTACATAGAAATCTACCGATTTTTTTTTAATTTTCGTCCGCCATATTGGATCCGCCATTTTGAATTTTTGATAAGTGACTTCATATTCGTAATCAGCTACCCAAAAATCCCCTAGGTAAGAGGTGGTGTAAAGATCCATCAACGAGTATTTGTTTAAATAGTTTCGTCCAGCTAGATTTGCGATCCGAACCACTGTGCGCCCGTGCTCTACAAGATACACTTCAATTCTAATTTTAAATTTCATTGTTTTAAAAAGTGTATTATTTAGCCATAAAAATTGTCTGGGGGTAACATACGCGCAATTTGTAACTGTTTGTAACTGTGTTAGTGTGGCCATCAGTTTCATCTTAAGAACCAAACGCTATGTTGAATGAAATTTTTAGAAATATGTGTCGAATCAGTATGTACTCCTAATCATCAAATCCATCAATTAAATTAATGCTTTGGCTGAATGTATATGAATGTACAAACCAAACTTTAGTTATAGTTTCCAAATATTAAATAAAATTTTATTTTCTATTGCAGGTGAATAGAGGTCATTGGGACCTACCGCCGTTTTTATGTGATTTTTACATAGCTATGGATGTGATATGTTCAACGTCATCGATCTTCAACCTAGTGGCGATATCGATAGATCGGTGAGTAATTAAATTTAAATAATAAAAAATTAAAAAGAAAACACAGTTACCCTAACAAAAAACCTCCAATCGATTCACTCCCCTTTTATAGTTTTTGAGTCACCACGTCTCCAGCGATACGTAAATGCTTTACGAATAATTAACTCTAGTGTTAATAATGCTTTTGTTTACAAAGTTTAGCTTGAAAAGAGACAATTTTTAATTCGTCGATAACACATACATTTTTAATGTGAAGGAATGCAATATTTCGATGCATTACATCGGAAAAAAACGAAGCGAAATATCAATTTTCAATATGTCTCTTCGTCTAAAATGAAAAAAGGGAATGACTAATGTTGTCTTTCGTTTGATGTTTTAGGCTACCTATGGCTTATCTTGGGAATAACAAATGCATATATTCGGTAGGGGATTTTGTATTTTCATACATACGTGAGTAAAAAAATATATTAATGTCATCATCCAGCGATAATTAGATGAGAACGAGTCGAAGAATCTTCGACGCTGTAGACATCGTAAGGCTGCCACCAAATCAGTGTTGAGCCCACTCGCGCCCATTTTTTTGGTCTTGAACAGCTTGCTTTGAGCAACACATCTTTCCAGGCATTCACTTTTCACNATTTTTATTGAACAGCTTGCTTTGAGCAACACATCTTTCCAGGCATTCACTTTTCACAATTCGGGACATACAAATTAAATTTGCGTTCCATTATTCCTTCGTCACTCAAAGACACACTGCAAATGTGCGTAGCCAAGCCGTGCACTGTACTTTGAAAGCCAAACCTAAAATACAAAACGCAAAAGCTTCAAATATCAGTCAACAGCTCCTACAAGAGCTCAGTAGAGGAACCTCTGCGTAAATATGACAATTACGGGGATTTTGTAGGTACATACATCTACGCATTCCTAAATTCATACGTCGCATGACTTCGGTTTCACCTCCACGTCTGCGTTTTCTCCGCTCATTTTTCTTCCGTTGTGACGGAAGAGCACTTTATTTGAAATATTTCACTCCAATTCTACGCACATTCATACTGGCATGCACGCGCACAACCATAAATGCCTTCTAGCGAATTGTAATCAATCAAAATTTAATTAAATCCGACGAAAGGGAGACAAAGTGGCGAAGAAACATTCACATCCATTCATACTTATGTATACAAGTACATACATATGGATGTACATTTTAAATCGGAGAAAATAACAAGAAAATGGAATTGGAGACTTTTAAAGAGTTTTTGTTCTAAAGTTATTCCGCGACAGCTTGGCCCTACGGATATGAAAGTGTGCATAATTAAAATATTAAAATTCCACTTTTATAATTTTTTGTTTAAACAAACTATTAATTTTTGTAAGCGGTGTCAAATTAATCAAGTTTGTGGAAAAAAACTTCCAGAACAAATTATTTAATTTTCAAATTTCTAACATCTAATTAATGTGCTATATTATTTATTAGCAGAGTACCCGACATCACATACAACAAAAAAACAAAAAAGACATATGTACATGTCGATGGACCTCTGCAATAACAACTCATTCAAAATTCAAAAAATAAATACTGTTACTACTGTGAAGTGGCTCTTGTCTCTAATCCTTGCCTAATCCATTTCCATCCTTTACTAAAGTAAGCAGTAGTGATTGCTAAAGTAAGTTCTAAAGATTAGATATGGATTCGCAAAGAATTAGAGACATGAGCCACTTAACAGTATTTAGAAAAAGTTGTTATTTCTTGAATTATGAATTGTGTCGTTATTGCACAGGACCATCGACCTGTATTTTTACCAAAACATTTTTCTAATTCCTCAAACCGATTTTAACGACTAATAATTATAACATAGATTTAACATCACTCTTTCAATTTTACAGGCTCACGGAGCTTAATTAAAAAAAAAAAGTGTATTGCATCTGTACAACTCCGTTGCATGCATATGTATATGGATTGGAAACTTTATATTCCAAATGGTACATAGCTAGCCGTTCTAGAGCGAATCGGTTTGTTTGTATTCCTCAAAATACTTAATTCCATGTTAAAAACGAAAAACTTCGAGGGAAAATCGTATGTGAGTTTTAGCCAAATGGTTCTCAGGAAACATTACTATACAAATTAAAAAAAAAAATCTAAGCTGTAGCATTTATTTGTTGAATTAAAAAAAATATATATATACTAGCTTATACCCGCGGGTTTCACCCCGCGCTTTTATATAAATATGAAAAATAATTTAATGATGTTAGATTTTATTTCTGTGCCCGTTTCGTTATAGCTCGTTATTTTTTAAGCGAGTTAACGTATTTAGGCCGTTTAAAACTATGTTATTATAAAATCTCGTCTGCGCGCTAGGCATACGAAAGATATCAATCCCTCTAAGTTTACCTTAAAATGGTTCCAGGTATACGACGCGTAAACATGTACGCTTCTTGGAGGTGCCACGGCGGGTTCTAATATTTCCAACTCAAATTTGGTAACCTGGCCTTGATAAAATACCACTTCTCATTACTGTAGCAAACGCTCAAGATTGCTTTAGATTATAAGGCCGAAACCGACTCTCCCTTTTCCATTAAATGAAATTTTTTCTATCAGTACGGCACTTATAAAATAAATCTCCATAACAATATTTAAAATACTTCCAAAGATTTTCTATCCTTCCAGAGATATGTATTAAGAAGTTTTTAGTATGTAT